GAAAATACGAAGGCAGGACATTCACAGAAACGACAGTGACAGCAGTTACCTGGGCAGTGGGGCTGAGGGTCATTTGCTTTTGCTTAAGCAGGTTCTCAAATTTTTAACAAGGAATGTGGCTCCAAGTCCACAAGAAATGGCCACATCCTCAATGCTCCTTGGTTTGATCTGCCACCAACAAACAGACAGAGTGAGCAGAGGCAGCAGGTAGCAGCCCAGGCATCTGGGAGGCAGGTTCAACCCACCTCCAATGCCCAGGGACCAGCCCTGGTTCTCCAGCCTCCGTGCACCAGGTGGGCAGGACGAGCCCTAGGTGGCTGGCTGGAGGCTGGCCAGGTCTGCAGGGACAGAAGCGGAACCACACCAGCCTGGTCCAAAGTCCCAGGTTCCCCTTCCAGCTCCACCCCAACGGGCTGCAGACCTGTCTTCCCTTTGCTGCAGAAAAGGGGGCCAGCATCCTGCTCTTCCTTGGGGGGCCGCCCCCCCCCAACCTCGCTGCCTCTGGCGGGATCTGGATGGTGACAGGCCCAGGACGAGTGCCTATTCACACCACACAGAAACCAAGACTTGGAAATGCTGACCTTCCCCAGGCAACTGTACCTCACAGCAACTCTGGGAGCAGGGTCAGGCAGGCAGCCACCCATCCAGCCCGTGAGGGCCTTTGCCAAGCTGTGGGCAGCCCCTGTGGGCCCTGGCCTAGGAGGAGAGGCTCACCAACAGTCTTGGCCCTGGTGTAGGCAGCTGTCTCACACTGGTTGGGCTCTGGCCCGGCCAGCTCACCCACTCTGCTCCCAGAGTTACCACGAGGTGCAACAGTCCAGGCAGGTCAGCATTTCCAAGCCAACAAGGCACCAGAACAAGTGCCCCCATGGGCCACCGCCCATGCCCTCCGCAATTGCTCCCTGCCACTGGCAGAAAAGACCAGCAAACGGGAAGGCTCAGGGACCTCCAGGCAAGGAGCATAACTCAAATTCCTTCCCAGAGTTTCATAACAGAGGTCCCCCATCGCCTTAAATGGGGAGGCTGTGAGCTGGCCGTGAGCAGAGGCCAGCTGGCGTGGCCGGGCTCGCTCGCGCACAGCCCGGCCGGATTCCACGGAGGAAGTCAGCTTCCGAAGAAAATATCGCGGCACCGGCTTTCTGCAGAGGGCTGGCC